CCACCCCAGGCAAACAGCAAGCTTCTGGTTCAGTGAGAGACCCTGCCTGAAGGCAATAAGGCAGAAGATGGAAAACACCAAAGCCTTCTTTTGGCCTCCACCTGCATATACATCCTCCACACTTACGTGCATACACCACACATACACAACATCAAACGCACACAACCAAAAGAAGAAAGGCTTAAGATCAATAACTCTACTTCCATATTAACAAACTGAACAAGGGGGCTGGAGAGATGGCTCAGTGATTAAGAGCACTGACTGCTCTTGCAGAGGACTCTGGTTCAATTCCCAGCACCCACATGGCAGCTAACAACTGTCCAAAAGTCCAGTTCCAAGGAATCCAACACCTTCTTCTGATCTCCAAGGGTATTGCCCGACCTGGCACTTACACACCTTACACACATGTAGGCAATACACTCATACACATAAAATAAAAATAGTAAAAAATACATATATTAAGAAGAAACTGAAAAAAGAACAAATTAAACTCAAAGAAGAGGAGGAAGAAGAGTAGGAAAGAGAAACAGAGACAGAGGGAGAAGGGAGTTCTTTGAAATAATAAAATCACCAAGAAAAATCACACACACACACACACACACACACACACACACACACACACACAAATGCAAAACCATGACATTAAGAGCACTGCAGAGAAGCAGAAAAGAACAGTGTTCACAGTATGAGAGCTGGAAGAAAAAGTCAGAGCATCACTTTGATCCACGCTGAGGACCTGTAGGTTCTGCAACTCAGTGTTTTTGCTACTCTGTATTCCTGCAAAAGATTATAAAAGCATCACATGTATGAATTTTGATGCCCTAAACAAATCTTAACAAGTAAGAAAATTATAAAACTGAGTCTAAATAATGAAGATCAATTATTTTGGTAAGCCTATACACATTACTGATATTAGAAATGATGTGGAGACACCACTACAGATCACACAGAAAAAAATGTATGATGAAGCCTGGTGTGGTAGGCCACACTTATAATCCCAGCACTCAGGAAGTAGAGGCAAGAGAATCAGGAGTTCAAGGCCAGCTCTCTTCATAGAGAGTTTAGGCCAGCCTGGACTACAAGCAACCTTGTCTCAAACAAAACAACAAACAAAATGTGAATAACTTTATGCTGATAAATTTGACCACTTAGATGAATGAAATAAATACACAATGCCAATGTTCACTTAAGTACATAACCTGAAAGCTATCTACTCGAAGTTGAATTTGTGCTTTAAAATTTCCCACCAACCAAAAAACCAAAAACCCAATAAATAAAACACCCATGCACAAAAACAGCCAACAACAGTTTCTCAGAAACGAATACCTCTGTGCATAGAGGGCTTCATTGTTGATTTCTAGTAAATATTTAAGAAAAATAATAATACTAATTCTGTACAGTTTCAGAAAATGGAAGGAAAAAAAGCCCTTTCCAACTTATTTTGTAATGCTAATATTACTCTGATTTCCAAATCCTTAAAAAATGGGACTGGAGAGAAGATTCAGTCTTCAGCCATTAAGACCACTTACTACTCTTTCAGAGGACCCAGGTTTGGTTACTAGCACCCACATAGTGGCTAACAATCATCCTTAATTCCAGTTCCAGTTGTTAGGGGGCAGGGAGAGAGTGGTCTGATGCCCTGTTCTAGCCTTTGTGAGCATTGCACACACATGGTACATGCAGACAAAACACCAATAACACCTAAATTTAAAATAGATGAAATCTTTTAAATCTTTTATTTATTATTTTAAAATATTTATTTACTTTTATGTGTATGAGTGTATTGCCTGGATATACGTAAGTGCACCTGTGTCATGCAAATCCCTCAGAGGTCAGAGAAAGGTCTTGGGTCCCCTGGAGCTGAAGTTACAGACATTTGGGGTTAAGAGCAGTGGCTACTCTTGCAGAGCACCCAGGTTTGGTTCCCAGCATCCACATGGCAGCTAACAACCATCATCAACTCCATTTCTAGGGTTTCCAACGTCCCCTTCTGACCTCCTCAGGCATTTCAGGATGCAGGTGCATTTACATACATGCAGGCAATACACTCATACATATAAAATTTAAAAATTAAAATATTTTTTAAAAGATTATGGCGCATGTCTTTAATCCCAGTACTTGGGAGGCAGAGGCAGGCGGATCTCTGTGAGTTCAAGGCCACCCTGGTCTACATAGTGAGTTCCAGGCCATCTGGGGGCTACAGGGAGACCCTGTAAGTACAAACAAAACAAAATACAGCTGAGGGTATAGCTCAGCTGGTAGAATGTTTACCTACCATGCACAAAGCCCTGGAGTTCTTTTTTATTTTATTTTATTTTATATTTTTTGCTTTTGGTTTTTTGAAACAGCGTTTCTCTGTAGCCCCAGCTGGCCTGGAACTCACTGTGTAGACCAGGCTGGCCTTGAACTTACAGAGATCTGTCTGTCTCTGCCTCCTGAGTACTGGGATTAAAGGTGTGCATCACCATGCCTGGTGTTCAGAAGCTCTTAAATAAGACAAATCCAATCAATATTGATAAATTGGTAGTCAGGAGAATAAGGAGTTAAATGCCATTCTCAGCTCCATGGCAAGTTCAAGGCTAGCCTGGGCTAGGTAACAAATAAATGTTATTGGGTTGATTGCCCTTCTTCGTGTCTGATCTTTGCCTCTTGCTTCTGTCTGCTGGACAGGGAAATTCCTTCATCTTCAGCCATCCCATGGCCCTTGGTAGAGGTCAGCTTTGGTACTGCCTAAGTTCATCTGCACACTGTCTACATCCTGCTGCTAAGGTCAGCTCAAAGAGCCCACAGCACCCTACCCACAGACTCCAAAGATGCCACTGAGGCAGGAATTTAGCCCTGCCACCTCTCAGGCCCTCTCACCCCTAGGACTCACTTCTGAGGGTGTACATGAAACCAAGTGGCCCTTGCCAGGCTGCCTTCTGTATGCAATGAGTGGCTCCTCCCTGCTCACTGTGTCCTCATGGCTCTTCAATTTGTTTCCTCTGAACCAGCCTTCTAGAGAGTCCAGGGGTGATATGGAATTCCTCCTGAGTCCATCTGGCTATTTCAATGGGAATTTGTTAACAAAATGGACCAAAGAATTGAACAGAGGGTGGTCAGAATCCCTATGCGGCACCAAAAGTCCCATTTGGATCAGATGTACACAGTATGACCCACTTTGCCCCTGTTTGGAAGTGCTAAAATCCAGTAAGTGTATTTGCTGGACATAGGGAAAGAAGAGCAAGGGCAGTGTCCAGCCCTGCTGCTGTTCCACAGGACACAAGTCCTTAATGCTACAAATTCTGGCCTGACATGATGGTACAGACCCAACCTGTAATCCCAGGACTTGGAGGTTGAAGCAGGAGTATGGTGCCTATGCAGGTAGCTTGGCCAAATGGTGAGACACAGCAACGACCACAAAAACAATCCTAAAAGCAAACAAAATTCTAACCGAAAGAATACATAAGACTGGGGATGTAGCTCAGTTGGTAGAGTGCTTGCCAGCCTGCATGAAGGCCCGGGTTCATCCTTCAGCATGGCGCAATATTGGTCATGATGTCTACATGCCTGTAATCACAGCACTTGGAAGGTGGAGGCAGGAAGATCAGCAGTTTAGACTCATCCCCAGTTACGTGGGGAGCTCCACTGCTGGACTATATGAGACCCTATCTTTAAAAAGGGGGGAGGGTGAGATGACTCAGTAAGTAAAGGGGCTTGTGCCACCAAGCCTGACGTCCTGAGGGCCCACAATCTAGAAGGAGAGAACCAAATTCCACAAGTTGTCCTCTGACCTACACACACACAGTGGCACAGGCATGCCAAAGACATATACACACAAATACAGAGTAGATAAATTTAATAAAAATTATAGCTAAATACATAGATAGAGACACAAATATAAAACAAATTCTGCACTTGTAGCTAGTGGATCCACTCAATTCAGTGCCCATTTATTGAAATAATCTTTTAAAAATTTATTGTGGAAAAAAATGTGTATTTAGAATTAACCAGCTGGACTCGGTTTAGGTGATCCCAATTTTGTTAGCAACATCCAAAGTATCATAATCTAAAATTTTTATTACCTCTGTGTGTGTGTGTGTGTGTGTGTGTGTGTGTGTGTCCTCCACAGCTCTGGGTGGGGGGTGTCAGAGGACAACCTTCAAGAGTTGGTTCCTTCCTTTCACCATGTGAGTTCTGGGATCCTACTCAGTTCATCAAGTTTGGTGGATTCTGGGATCGAACTTAGTTGGTTAAGCTTAGCGACAAGCACCTTTACCCACTGAGCCAACTTGCAAGTCCCCATTGAAAGTTCTCTTATCTTCCGTGGAAGCTTCCAAAGCCTCTTTTCCACCAGGAAAGTTCCTTTGGGGGAGTCTGGTAGGCGGTGGTTTAGGCTGTGCCTTCCCTGGGGCCCTTCTCACACAGGGCTGGGGCCTGACCCAGTCTCTCCAGTGTCCATCCAGAGGTGCGTTAGTGCCCTAAGATCTAGGAAGGGAAAGGCTTCCTAAAGAGACTGATGGACCCCAGGGGATGGCTAGGAGGCAAGCCAGCGGCAGACCTGGCTGAGGGAACAGCCTGAGCAAATCCAGGAACGTTTTGGGAATATCAGAGATTCTGGCTTGACAGGAGCATGGGATAAAGCTAGGTGAGGAGACGGGTCGGGAGCCAGACTTCCTGGGATGGGGAGTTTGCCATGAAGGTCAAGAAGACAGGTCAGAGCTGCAGGCTTGGGAAGTGATCAATTTCAAACTGGGCGGCGTTCTGGGAGTGTCCTAAGGAGATGCTCTTGGGAGCCCAGTGTCACTGGGGAGGGGAAGCAGCTCATGGGGGAGGGATGTAACGGGGTGTCTGTCATGGCAGACTTGAGGCTGCGAGGGTACCGACCCCTGGTGGCGCCGGCCGGAACCGTCCCTGGCAAGGCGACAGTAAGTGCAGAAGTTTGCGCACCACTTCTTCCAGGAACCACGTGCAAGGCGCCGGCTATCCAGCGTCAGGGTCTCGCCCTGTCTGCGCCAGCCAGCCCCGGGCAGCGGCGGGATTCCCTTCCCATAGTGAATTTTAGGGGTGGCCCCAGGGCGCCTCCCCAGCAGCTGGTGTTGCCTTATAAGGCGGGCCGGGCGGCGCCGGGGGAGTGGCTGTGGCTGCTCGGCCCCCACCCGACCCGGCGAACTGCGGGGACCCGCCACCCAGCCTAGCGCAGCAGCCGCCGAACCCAGGAGTGCGCGCAGCCGGCCATGGGCAAGTCAGGTGAGCAGCCGGCCAGGTCCGGGTGTGGGGATGGCTCCAGAGCCTGGGTTAGGGATCCTCGTCGTCACCCTGACTGGCCTGGAGCCTGGTCCTCTGGGAGCCCCGCGCCCCCCGCTCCCGCCACTCCCTCCGCGTTGCGGGACCCCTGGGTGTGGGATGGAGAGCGCGGGAGCTAAGAGCCCGGGGGCTTGGCGCGTGCTGGGTCAACCTGGGAGCCGAGGACGGTGTGCGGCCATCGCGAGAGAAAGAAAAAGAAAGAAGGGGGAAAGCGAGAGGGTCCTCCTGGCTTCGAGCCAGAGATTGCGTCAGGGAGAGTTTCCTAGAGCTGATGGGGATGGTGCTTTCTGACACGCTCAGGCGTGGCCTTGCTTTGTTTCAAGAGGTGGACAAAGTTACAGTTGCAAAAAGTCACCAAATTGTAACAGCATCTCTAGTTGCAAAGCGGTTTATCCGATCCCGCCCTGCTAAAGACAGGTCCGAGTATCCTTTTCATTTTTTGCTGTGCACACTCGTTCCCCCGTTATGTCTGACTTGCTGCTGTGTGTACACACCGCTGTGGCTGTAAGGCTGAAGCTTCTGAAAAGCAGATCTCCTGTCTCTCCCTGCCTGCCACCTTCCACTGACCAGGCCCGCTGCCCATGGGCACCACCCTTTACTGTACACTGAACTGCAGCTGTGCTGGCTGGTTGGTACTCTGGTCCTTCCTCTGGGTGCCCTGGCTTGGTACTCACTACCCTCCCCACACACACACCTCACACCCAGCCTGAAACTCTCCCAATCCTGTGCTCAGCTCCTGGATGAAGAGCCCATCCCTCATCTCTCTCTCCTTCCCCATAGGGACTGTCCACTCTGTGAGTCATTTATAGCCACTCCTCTTGTATAGCAGAGCCCTACTCCCCACCCTACCCCCATCTGTCATTCCTGGCCATCAGGGATATCTATTGGCACATGGCTCCTGCCTCACAGGAGGCTCTGCTGGAACAATGGGTTCAGGGGCTTGTCAGGGGTCAGAGGAGGAGGGCTTGGTTCCTTCTTGGATCTATCCTCCAAGACCTAGACTCAAGAGATGCATTGAGTGTAAGTGGCTTCCCCTGGCACAGTCCCAACCTGCCTTTCCTCAGGCTGTAGTAACATCGGATCTCTACTTGAATAAAATATTTGTTTTGAAAATAATCAGCATTTGAACATTAATTGGATATTTGATGTTAAAAAATTAGTTCTTTTTAGATGTATTTATCTTTACTTTGTGTGTATGAGTGTTCCCATGATTTTTTAAAATGTATTTTTAATATATTTATTATTTCTTTAATTTTATGTGTGAGTGTATTGTCTACATACATGTGAGTGCACCCATGTTGTGCAATGCCTCAGAGGTCAAAAGAGGGTGTCGGATTCCCCTGGGACTGGAGTCAAGGACGGCTCATAGCCGCCATGTGGGTGCTGGAAATCGAACCCAGGTCCTCTGCAAGAGCAGTCAAGTGCTCTTAACCTCTGAGCCACCTTTCCAGCCCCTGCTCCCATGATTTTAAGTGCTCCACATGTATACAGTGCCCACAGAAGCCAGAAGAGGGCATAAGGTTCCCCAGAACTGGAGTTACAGACAATCGTTGTTGGCTGCTATGTGGGTGCTGGGAACTAAACCTAAGTCCTCTGCAAGAGCAGTTAGTGCTCTTAACCATTGAGCCATCTCTCCAGCCCCTCAAACAGCACTTTTTAAAACTAAGCCAATGAGAGATGGCTAGTGGTAAAGGCACTTGGTACCAAGGTTTGATGACCTGAATTTTATCCCTGAAACCAACACATGGTCAAAGGAAAGAACCAACTCCTGCAAGCTGTCCTCTGACCTCCACACACACAGGCTATGGTGCCCGCCCCCCCCCCAAAAATCTTAACAATTTTTAAAAATCAAGGATTCTACCACAATACAATCCAAAGCTACACTAACTTGACACACTGCTGAGAAACGACAGTAGGAAACTATTAAAACTGTTTTCTGTAATTAAACCATTATGTTTCTGTAATAGCAGAAAACTTTGTATGTACAATAAAAACACTGCAATTTGTAACATACAATAGTCTTGAATCTAAGCCAAAGTATCTCAGGCAGAGTTCTGTGGCACTGCCTGTTGGGTGGCAGTACATATTGCACATGTTTTATGTTCAGAGCCAAGGCTGCAGGGAAGTTGTGCCATGCAACACAGTCAAGTGTTGCCAGAAACACCTCAGACTCATTCTGGCATTTGAGTTTGAATCACGTTTTGGTGGTTGTATGTTCAGAAATCTTTTACTGTGGCCAAACTTTTCACCACCCTCTACATTCAGTTATACACCCATATGAGGTCTTGTTCCACAATTCTAAAATTTTTTGATTTATATTTTTGTGTATGAGTGTTTTACCTGCATGTATGTACATGTACCACATGTTCGCAGTGGATGCAGAGGCCAGAAAAGGGACCCCTTGGAGCTAGAGTTAGGACAGTACGAGACACCATTTGAGTGTGGGGAACTGAACCCAGGTCTTATGCAAAAGCCAGCCAGTGCTCTTAACCACTGAGCCACCTCTACAACCCTGTGCAAAGATAAAGGCTAGAGTGGAAGGGTATATTTGCAGAGGATGGACCTTGAGCAGACTTGTCAGACAACCTGCTATGAATAAAGAGGAAGGTCAGGGGCAGGGGTACACCTTTAATCCCATCATTCAGCAGTCCAGAGGCAGAAGCAGGTGGATCTCTGTGAAAATGAGGCCAGCCTGGTCTACATAGTGAGTTGCAGCCCAGCTGGGACTACAGGGAGACCCTGGGGGGAGTGGGGCCGTCAGAGGCATGAGTCTGCAAGCAAGATGGTGTTGATGCAGGTTGAGAGGAGCACGGTGGCAGAGAGCTGGTGGCGGAAGGCAGTAGAGCTGGTAGAGCCAGGTGTGACTCCCACACTCTCACACTTAGGGTCTAGTATCCTAATGCAGACCTAGATCCCTCATGGCTGCATATGTTTGGCTATTCTAAGGGTCCCTAAGAGACAGTGACTCTTCTGGGTAACTCAGACCCAGTGAGACTTCTGCACAACCCAACCTTGAATTTCCAGGCCACTGATGGACTCTTCAGGGAGGCCGCACTCAGAGATACCCCAGTTTATATAGGGGTGTATATCTGGGTGGCTCCAGAAAGAGCAAAACAAGGACTTAGTCCCTGCTTCTGAGCCAGTTTCTTCCTTACTTCACAGAAGCCAGTCTCATTTTCAACCAAATCTCAGATATACCCCAGGGCTGCTCAGAAGCAGTAAGCATTTCTGCAAGCCATCACGCAGCTGTTGCAGTTCAATCCAGAAGGGCTCAGACCAGTGTTGGAAGATCCCAAGTATGCTGGAACAGAGGAAGGCAGTGCCCTTTGCCCCAAGTAATAGTGATTACCAATCATTAAGCTCCCACTGAATGCCTGGCAGTAAAGCATTTGCTATGTTACCAATTTTGTAATGGGGCTTAAGGCCATTACTGTCAGTTCATTGTGTAGATATATGGCACTCAGGCAATTTGATCAGTTTCATACCTTAACCAGTAAGTGAACAAACCCAGATTGGAAGTCAGCTTGCTCTCTCTCTCTCTCTCTCTCTCTCTCTCTCTCTCTCTCTCTCTCTGTATAGAACCCAGCTCTTTAGTTTCCTAACTGTGCTTTTTTCTATAGCACACTGACCACAGGCCCTGACCCCAGTCACCTTCCCAGCTGGACTCTGGCCAGTGGGGAACCCCACACATATTCTAATCATCTTTAAGAAACTTGATGTCCCAGGACACACATCACTAACATGAGAGGTTATCAGAGCAGAAGGCCTTTAAAATTTTTTTTTCTGAGTGGGCCCCTGGGGCATCTGCAGGGAGAGGCCCTGTGGGTCAGGTCTAGTCCAGGAATTCCAATCCCATCTCTTCATTTTCTTGCTGGTCTCTTTTGAAGAAAGGATTTTCTTGCTTTGAAGGCATTTTGAAACTGCAGCTGTCATTCTCTGTGCACAGAGGGGCATCTGGGGCAAAGAGGACAGAGGCTTGCATCTAGGCAGGCTAGTGGCACCACCGGACTGGTACTTGAGCAGCCCAGCAGACGCTCCCCTGTTCAGCAGCTACGGTCATTCGAGTACCATATCTACCTGGTTAGCTTTCACAGAAGTCTTCTTAGAGGAGGCCATCACTCCAAGAAATGAATTCCTTGTTTCCTTAGGCAACTAAGCAACTGTTTGTTGTCTAGTCCTGCAGTTAGGAGAAGGGGCAGCCATGTGTAAAGTGGAAACTTCAAGGTTGGCGGCAGCAAAGAGGGGAGCAAGGGGTGCACTTAGGTCTGATTTTAATGTAGACCAACTGGATCTGGGTGATCTGAGGCAATTCACACTGTCCCAGATGCTGATTTGGGGAATCCCGTTCTAGTACTATCAGTATCTGGTGTGACTAGTTCATTCATTTGTTCACTCACTCATTCAGCAAATTTCCAGGCTTGGAAGAACTAAAAGATACCTTCTAACCGCCCCTCCCCAATTATCCACTTTCAATATTATTCATAAACAGGTGAAACAGTTTTGCCCAAAAGCAGGAGCAGTTTGCCTTCTAGCCCCTTGTCAAGAGATGACGAACAGGGCCGGTTCAGAGTGCCCACCGTGGCCCCTCCTGTCACGGCCTTTTTGGTGGAGAGCACAGAGGGGCTAGACAAGAGGAGGTTGCTGAGGGAGGAGCCTGTCCCCTAAAAGCAAGTGTGTGAAAGGCTAAGGATGTCTCAGTCTTCTCACTGCCCTCAAGCCCCAAAGATCTTAAAGTGCCTAGAGCAGCTCCACCTAGTATGTCCTGCCCTGCATTCCACAGATAGCCTTCCCTGCCTTCTCTGCTCCACACAGCTGAGAACTCCTGTGTCACAGTCCCTGGCTGGCCTGGGCCTCTTGGGACAGGCCTAGGTCTGAGCACCTAGACACAGAGGAGACGCTTGAGAAATCTAGTTGTTTCTTCCCTTCCTTCCTCTTCTCTCCTGTCAGAGATCAGAGGCTGCCCCAGCCTGGGGTCTTTTCTCCTACCTTTCTTGCCTTAGCTGTCCTCTCTTGAGTCTGAGTTGTCTCCTAGGTGACATCTCTGCCACTCGCTTTGGTGACCTATGAACTATGAGACAGGGCATCCGAACAGGGTCTTGCTTCAGATCCAGGCTACTCCTGAAGGCAGGCACCTCCTGGGCTAGCATGGGAATCTGAGCAAGTGACTTCCCTTGCATAGCATATTTTCCTAGTCATGAAAGTGGGTGCAGTAATGGATGCTCTAAGAAGCTGTGAGAGATTAATGAGGTTGCAGGTCCAGCCGCAAACAAGCCAGGAAAAGCAAGAACACAGACAGGTCTGCTTTTCCTTCCTCTTGGCTCCTCTCACAAAATGAAGCAGGAGTCCTTGCCCTTCCCCCGCTCTTGGGACAGCTGAGGGCCCTCTCTGCCTGGTGGTGGTGGGCGGTTTCACTTTGACTTTTCCTCTATGTTTATCTATGTTCTTGGGTTTTTTTTTTTTTTTTACAGAAGTAGGGTGTACTTCTGGTTGGGCGTGGTCACCACTGATAACTTGCCTCCCTGGGCTGGCGTCCTGCTCAAAGGAACCATCTGGGGTTAGGACTTGCAGGTCATTGTGGGAGGGAACTCCTGAGACTGCCCAACTGTTGGCTGTGGGCCCCAGGCTTCCAGCCAGGGGAGACAAGAGAGGCCTCCCCTGCTGACTATGGCAAGACCTTTTGAACCCTGGTTGAGGCCCTGGCTGAGGGAGCCAGCTCTGCGACTGGTGCTCTGGGCTCTGACCTTGTGTTGGCTCAGGAACTTTCACTTTTATCCCTTCCAACTTCCCACATTCTGGAAGTACAGTGACCTAGTTTTTAGCAGCCTTATATGTCTCTCTCTCTCTCTCTCTCTCTCTCTCTCTCTCTCTCTCTCTCTGTTGAGGAGCCTATAGGGCCTATAGCACAATGGGGTCCAGTGCACACTGACCTCAACACTCAGGCTGCCTTAAACTGGCCTCTGAGCCACCCATCTGCTCTTCTAGGGCCCTAAGAGCCTGTCCCTTTCTGTGTGCTTAGCCTCCACCTCCTGCGTCCTGACCTCAGTGTATCTTCTCCAGGGAACTTCCCTGATGCCTCTGAGGTTGGTTGCATGCACAGGCCACCAAGTCTCAAGCATCTCCCGCGGTGTCCACCAGACCCACCCTTGGCCTGTCTGAAACATGGGAACTAGAAGTTCAGGATGTCATTCCTGTCACTTAGATGGGGGCCCTTCTTTACTGACCATGTGGTTCTATAGAAGCCTTTGTTTTGATTGCTCTGTCTCTTTACTAAAGGTCAGGAGATCCTGGAAGTCATAGGCCAGTTCTTCATCCATCTCCCTCACCCACACCTGATGGAATCTTAGAAGATCTCTACCCTGGAAGGATAGGGGGCTCACTTGCTCTCCTGTCACAGTGGGAGATGGCTTGCCACCTTCTGAGGGAAGCCCCCTGCAGTCTTCTGAAAGCTTTTTTAACAGTCTTGGTAGGAGCGCATATTTTTCAGATGCTTGTACCTCTCCCTTCAGATAGCAATCAGATATTGGGTCAATGGAACCAAGGAACTGGAATTTCTCCCAGAGTGTCATGTCATGCTGGAGGAGGGGAAAGACTGAAACCCTGGGACTGGGTCAGAGAAGAATTTGCCTTCCAGAAAGAGATTCCACACTGTGCTGACTGCTTAGCAGGACCTGGTGATGGTGGAACCACACCCTGTCAGGGACTGTTTCATAGTGCACACCTCTATTTAAACCCAAACCTCATGTCAGGACTCCAAAGATGGACTTCAGGGTCACTCGATCTCTTTGTTCCTCTTCTTAATGCGGCCACACTGAGTAAGTCTCCTTTCTCTGCGTTGCACTATTGCTGGTCTCTAATTGGAGTATCTAGGAACAGGGGGACTCCTAGCTCCTTAAGGCTGCCGGAGCCCAGGCTTGTACCATTAGGACTCTGGTAATGCTTTGACTGGGAGAAAGGACCTTCTTAGGCTGAGCTGAAATCTATCATCTTGCCTCTCTACCTGCTGGCTCCAACTCTGCCCTGTTGGACCCCAGCTTTCACTGGAGGCCCCCCACTGACTTTCAGTGTGATCTCCAGGATGAAAAGCTCAGTGTGCACAGTTACTTTCACAGGCCCCCACTGGCAGCCTCTGAAGACTCTTCAGATCCTCTCTGCCTCTTGAGCAAAGCAGGGTTGGGCAACCATTGCATAGGAGCCAGCCTGCGGTTCTGGCCACCACAACACCCTGTTGCCTCCTTCTGAGCTACTGAAAAAGATCCCGCCCACATCCAGGATTTGCTCTGGCTCCTGCCGGCCACTGTGGGCTGGTTTTTGATACTGTGATTTGATGTCCCAAATACCACATTAGCCTGCCAAACCTGAAAAACACCTTCAAATGCACAGTCTTCCTCATTTATGCCTTCAGGAGTGTTACATGAAGCGGAAATGGAGCTGCTCCAGGAGTTTTTCACCTTGCAATGCTGAAACTCTATACTCACTAAACATCGCCTGCTTCCTCCTGCCCCAAGAGACCTAAATTCTGCCTTTCTTATCAACAGAGGTGTGGCCCTTCCCTGGTCACAGGACCTGAAGACTTCAGGTTGTGGCTCTACCCCCTGCCTCATGCTGTCACTGGTCTTCCCATATCTACCTGTCACCCAAACCTCACAAATCCCGGTTGAGGGCCCTTCCATCCCCACCATGTGTTCCTGAGACTGGATCTCTTTAAACAGCCTTTCTGGATCCTAGAGCCCCCAAGGGTGGTCTTCCTCTTTGTCAGAAGGTCCTTGGATGCCTTGACCACCCACCATGACCTTTCTTTTTCCCTCTTGCTGCAGCTAGCCCCAAGCACTTCCTTTATGCCCAGGTATCCACCCTTCCAGTCACCACCGGCCAGCCTAGTGCTTGCTCACAGTCCCAGGACCCCATGTCCACAGAGAAGGACTCTTAGAATCCTAAGACTGGTACTTGGTGCCTTTGTGATCTTAGCCTGGTCACATTCTCCAGGTTTCTCTTGCTTCTGTGCTTACCTACATTGTGGCAGTTGTCACAATGTTGTCTGCTTCCAAGACCTTTTCTCTTCTATGTGTGAGCTTTAGCGGTCAGAACATGGCTGATTTGTCTCTGGGTCCCTTTCCCGCCACGTGGGATCTGGTGCACAGGAAATATTCCTAGAGCAGATAGTAGAGAAATAGACTAGGATTGAATGGAGGG